AACGTTCATAAACATAAAATTGAAAGTAAATAAAAATAACTGTGAAAAAAAAGGAAAAAGAAAGTATGGCCAGGTATAGAGGCCATGCCTTTAATCCCAGCGCTCAGGAGACAGAGGCAGACCTGGTCTACACAGCATGCTCCAGGTTAGCCAGAGCTACATAGTGAGACTGCCTGAACAAACAAAATAACAACAAAATACTCAGGAAATTTGGGTGTGGCGCATGTCTGTAATTCCAGCACTAGGGAGGGGGAGGCTGGAGGATCAATACAAGTTTGAGGCCAGCCTGGTCTATATAGTGAGACCTTGTCTCAAAAGACAAAAACAAAAACAAAAAACCCCATCAAAACTCTGTGACACAGGTGCTCTTATCTCTGCTTTACAGATGAGTAACTAAGGTACAGAGTGGCCCTAGGGCCAAACTCAAATAGGTAGAAAGTGACCCATGTTCTGCACATCAGGGTACACTGATTTTGCACGGGGAATTCAGTCGAAATGGAGAACAGTTTGTTACCTGTGTTAATTCCCTTTTCTCCTTCAATTCCACAGTCAAATCATGCTGTTTTCTTCTACAACTCACCCTCAGCTTTAAGGCAACTATTTGTGCAAAGGTCTGCCCTGGCCCAGATCTCCAGTCTGTCTATAATCATGAGTGAGCAGCTGTCTTTCAGTCTAGTAGGGCCCCAACCTCCTTTGCCATTTAAGGTGCCAGCCAATCTACTCTGGCCACTAGACCCCAAACCTATGTGTTCTCTACTTTATCAAGACAACTTTGCACTTGCCTTTATCACTTACTTTCATACTGCTCTTCCAGAGGCTAGGAAGCACCACTGTGTGTTAAGCCTATGCTAGTGATAAACCTCTCTTTTTAGTTTATTTTTTTGAGACAGGGTGTCCCTGTAACCCCAGCTGGCCTGGAACTTGCTATATAGACCAGGCTGACCTCGATCTCACAGATATCTGCCTGCCTCTGCCTCTCCAGTGCTGGGATTAAAAGGGTACAGAGCCATCACCCTTTCTTTACATACACCACAATGCACTGTGGGAATTTGGAGGGGAGGCTGGCTAGGTGTAATAGTGAACACCTGTAATCCCCATATTCAGAAGGCTGGGGCACAAGGATAGGTGTTCAGGGCCAGCCTATCTTAACCTACCCCAGCCCCCCAAAAAAACCCTAACTCACACAATAAAAACAAATACAAGGAGCTGGAGAGATGACTCAGCAGTTAAGAGCACTGACTGCTCTTGCAGAAGACCTGGGTTCGATTCCCAGCACCCACATGGTGGCTAAGAACTGTCTGTAACTCTGGTTCCAGGGGATCTGATGCCCTCTTCTGACCTCCTTTGGCACTGCATGACATGGGTGCGCTTACATACATGCAGGCAATATACTCACACACAAAAAATAAAAATAATAAATAAAATATTAAATAAAACCAAAACAGAAGGAAAGAGAATACTCGTGTTTTATTTTGTGCTAAAGATTGTACCCAGGGCATTGCACATAAGCAGGCAGAAGTTCTGCCCCTGAGCTAGTTGTCCAGTCCCCAGCCCCGCACCCAGCCCTTCTATCCCCCAACTTACTCTCCACTTTCCATGTGGCTGCTAGAGTAAGCGCCAAACATGCAGTCTGAGGTGTCACACCTCTTCAAAATGTTTTTCCACCACCTATAGATGTCTTTCTTTTTAAATTGCATTTTATTTACTTATTTATTTTCTGTGCTTATATGTGCATGTATATGTGTGTGAACTCATGTGGAAGACAGAGGACAACTTTCGGGAATCAGTTCTCTCGCTTTATCATGTGGGTTCTGGGGAACAAACTCAGGCCATTAGGCTTGCTTATAGGCATCTTTACCTTTGGAGCCATCTCACCAGCCCTTTTGGTCTTTTCTTTTCTTTTTTTTGAGTCGGATATCAGGAAGCCCAGGCTAGCCTCAAATTTGATATATAAATGAAGCTGCCCTTGAACTCATGATCCTTAAACCTCTACTTTCAGAGAGCTGAAATTACTGGCCTGCAGTACTATGCCCAGTTTTATGCTGTTTTGGGGCTCAAACCCAGAGTTTATATATGCTAGACAAGCACTTTATTAAATGAGCTTCATTCACAGTCCAGATTTAAAAAAAATTTTTTTGATAAAGGGTCATATGTAACCCAGTTGGCCTCAAACCCACTGTGCAAGTGAGGATGACCTTGACATCCTGGTCTTCTTGCCAGTGCCTCCCAAGTGCTGGATTACAGGTTTGCACTACCACACCCAGCTCCTATGGATATTCTTAACCCCTTAAAGAACACACAAGGCCTTTCCGTTTCGGGTCATAGTTTGTTTTTCCCACCTTCCCTGTAGGCATTCCACTCCTTGAATCTTCCAAGACAGATTATTTATCTGACTCTGAAAATACTACGCCTTTGAGATGTCTGCATTCTACTTCATTCCCCCTCACTGCAATGCCCCAGTCCTTTCTTTCATTGCCCCTATAGGTTCAGTCTGGCTTAGTCTGGGAATCAAAGGGAGCCCAGGTTGGCAGGATTGGGTAGCTCCTTGTGTGCCACAGGTCAGCTCTGGTATTTAAATATTGTGGAATCAGTAAATGAAGTGAGCATCCTCCTGTAACCCCCACTGTGCACATTCAGGCTATCTGATTGAGCATCTGAACCAGTTTGTGGTTGCCATGCCAATTCTCTATGGATACTGCAGCTTGCTCTGAAATCTCAGCTCAGTTGGCTGGTGCTTTGACTACTCTCCATAGTTCAGCCAACCTCCATCGAGGAGCTGACTGTCTTTTCCCTGCAACTGATGGCATCACTGCATATAGACACCTCTGAAAGACCATGGCTGTCCCCCCAAAACATCAGTACAGTGAGTGCGCAAGAACCTTCTGTTCCCAGGCCTTTTCTGCACCCAGTTCAGACTCCTTGAATATTGACCCTTCAATAGATCATGCTCAAGTTTGCAATATCTCTTGAACTTTGTTTTGGATTGCTGCCTATTCCCTGGGGGAGCCAAGCTTATTTTGCCAAGATTTTGTTGTTTTCAGAGCGGGTCCTCTCTGAAAGGGTCCCTATATAGCCTAGCCTTGAAGTTCCAGTCCTTCTACCTCAGCCTCCTGAGTGCTAGGATGATATACCAGTGCCAAACCTGGTCTGATAGTGTCAAATACTTTACACAAACTTCAGCTCAGCTCATCAGCTGACTCAAACTCACTCCTCTCCAGCTATTGGAGAGTTCTAGAATACCTTAAAGCCATGGTCTCAGCACCTATGAAACTTACATTTATAATTTGATTTCTTTTTTTTTTTTTTTTTTTTGGGGGTTTGGTTTTGGTTTTTGAGACAGTGTCTCCCTGTAGCCCTAGCTGGCTTGGCACTCGCTGTGTATGCTGGCCTCCATCTCATAGAAATTCACCTGCCTCTGCCTTCTGAGTTCTGGGATTACATGTGCCACCACGCTGGGCCTTCTTTTAACTTTTTTTTTTTTATCTTTTTGAGACAGGCAATAGCCCCAGTTGGCCTGGAACTCACTATGTAGACCGGGCTGGCCTTGAACTCACAGAGATCTGCCTGCCTTTGCCTCTTGAGTGTTGGGATTAAAGGCATGCATCACTTTGCCCAGCTTCTTTTTTATTTCTTTGAGACAGGGTCTCATGAAGCCCAGGCTGGCCTCAAAACTGGTTGTGTAGCCAAGGCTGGGCCTGAATTCCTGCCTCTATTTTTGAAGTGCTGAGTTCACAGGTGTGTGCCACCATGCTGGACTCATTACCTCTATAATTTATAACCAACTTTTCAACATATCTTGCTTAATTCTCACAAAAACTCGGATAGACAGAGCAGTTACAATGCACCTTATACTGCAGTCTGAAACACTGAGATCCACAGAGGCTAAAGATAAAACGTCTAAGGCATGAAGGTAATTAGTGGAAAGCCTGGTCTCCTAACTCCAATGCCTTCTTCACTACCCAGCTTGCACAGCACATTGTGTGAAGTATTAAGCCTCACCTGCTTCAAATGTGTCTCCCTTGAATGAAAAAGGAAGTCCTGGGGTCAGCCTTACCCTTTCCCAGTGACTCTTTGAGACACTGCTCCCATGGAGCTCTCGTCACTGTTCCTTCAACCTGTTCCCACCAGGTTAGTGGAGCCCAAGAATTGGGGTCCTCTCTCTGCTATTAATACCTGATAGCTGTGGGGCATGGTGGCGCACGCCTTCAATCCCAGCACTCAGGAGGCAGAGGTAGGCGGATCTCTGTGAATTCAAGGCTCACATACTCATATACATAAAATAAAAATAATAAAATATTTTTAAAAAGACCAAAACAAACAAACAAAGCAAACAAACAAAAAAACTGCTAGCTTTGTTCCACCATTGTCGCAGGAGAAATGAACCTTGATCTGGAACTGGAATCTTCTGAAGATAAAATAGATTTCTGAGGTGATGAGCAGGTTCATATTTCTCACTTTGAGGAGTGTGTGAGAGTCCTTCATTGGACAGGAGGTATCCAGAGAAGGAGTCAGACTGTGGGGCATCAGACTGAGTGTCCACCAGAAGAAGGGGACAGCTCTCTCAGGAGTATGGAGGAAGAACCTAGTCAAGGTACCCAGGGATATATTCTCTCTCTCTCTCTCTCTCTCTCTCTCTCTCTCTCTCTCTCACACACACACACACACACACACATGGCCTGAGAAATTTCTCTAGCATTTCTTGCCTCTCCAGAAGAAGTTATTTTAATTTTTTCACAGAAAGGAGGTATGTGAATTAGATGCCAGTAGAGCTATAAAATATGAAAAAGAAATGAGAAAAAAGCAAGACAATAAAAAGCAGAAGAGGACGGCTCAGAGGCTGGCTTTGCCAGGCCAGGACATCTGCCCCTATTTGCAGCTTCAAGCCACTCTTCCTTCTGCCTTAACCTTCCTTCTTTCCTTAACCAGAAAAATTCCAACCAAGGTCAGCTTACCTAGGGGGAGGTCAAAGAGGAGGTTGCAGGAGAAAGAACTTCCACAAACACTCGAACCGCCTCTTTACTGTAAAATCCTGTTTAATGTGTAACGTTTCAGGCAGAGAGATGGCCTTGGGAACTGGAGACAGGGGCAGCCCTGACCAACCCCCACTCCAACTTCTCTGCCTGCTTCTCCCTCCCTAACTCCTTCACCCTAGACATTTCTTCCTTTTCCTTGTGGCGGGCTGCAAGGCAAGCACAGTTCTTCCTTTTCTTGTGTTTGCTCCCCTCCCTTCTTCATCCACATGTCTACAGAACCCCTCCCCCACCCCGCTTGCCCATATCCCTCCCCACTGATGTGACTCCTGAAATGGGGTACCTGACAGCATAGGGTTAAGATTAGTTTCATAATTGGAAACACTGTCAGAGGATTCCATCTCTTGTCCTCAGTGGTCCCAGGGAACGTGAGAGGGAAGAGGAAGGGGCTGGCAACCAGAGCTGCCCACACCTCCAGTAACCTTGAGCACTGGGGCAGAGGTGGTCTCCAGCTCTTCAGCCCTCCAGCTTCTCAGACCGGAGGCTCTGGGAGGAAGGGGAATAGGGAGGGAAGGAAGGTTTTGATGGAATAATCCCTAGCAGGCAGAGGCCTGCTCACCGGCAGGGGAGAAGGAGGGGCAGGACTGGGCTGGGTGAGGGGCGGGATGGGAGGTGGCCTGGTATGTGGCATCAGCAGGCTGAGCAGCGGTCGCTCTTCTCAGCCAACCCAGCCCCGGTGCCCGGGCTGCGACGCAGTATGTCTTTCAGGGAGCCATCCTGCTCGCTCAGCAACTTGTTGATTTCATTCTGCTTATATTCAGGTGAGAGGCGGTGGCCGAAGCCCGAGCCCTTGCGGGAGGGCGGGTTGGAGCGGCGCTGAGCACGGCGGGCACAGGCCCGGATGATGAGGTACACCACCTCCGCCACGTTGAGGATGATGCAGATGCCGGAGGCTGCGAGCATAAAGACGGTGAAGACGGTTTTCTCGGTGGGGCGGGATACGAAGCAGTCCACTGTGTTGGGGCAGGGGTAGGCCTCACACTTGACCAGCCGCACCATGGCGTAGCCAGGGTAGAGCAGATAGAAGACGTACATGAATACGGCCTCGAACAGCAGCCGGAACACCACGCTGATGACATAGGTCCACCACAGTGTCCCTGAGATATGCACCTTGTGCTTTTTCACCTCTTCCAGGTGGAGAGGATCCCCATGACCCTCAAGCCGTAGCATTTTCTTTTCTATGTGCTGCTGGTGCGCCACGTGCATTGCCACGAGGAGAGCTGGGGTGGAAACTAAGATGAGCTGCAGGGACCACAGACGCACGTGGGAGATGGGGAAAAACTGGTCATAGCAGACGCTGTTGCAGCCAGGCTGCAAGGTGTTGCAGATGAAGGAAGACTTCTCATCACCCCACACACTCTCTGCAGCTACCACCAACACCATGATTCTGAAGATGAAGATGACTGACAGCCAAACTCGGCCAATGGCAGTAGAGTGCCGATTCACGCCACTGAGCAAGGTGTACAAACCTGTCCAGTTCATCCTGCCTCATTCACACCTGTGAAACATGAGGCATGAAGCAAGCTGTCAGAAGGGTAGGAAGCTGGGCACCATAACGCTGCCTATCCTGCCCTCATGTCTTCCAAGAACCAGTGACAGGAAAGCAAGGATAGTCATAGCGTTTCTCACTAACCCCTCTCCGTGCCAGCCTTTCCCTGTCATTCGCTTGACTTGACCTTTCTGAGTCCCACCCCCCTTGTTCACACTCATCCAACATTCTTTCCTCTTGAGTCCCTTCCTTTACCAGGCCAATCTTGTTCTGATATTAGCCAGCCCTTCCGGCTCCCTCTCCCCCAGCTCCTTAACACCTGACCTATGGCAGACCCGAAAGCCATTACCTTGGGGAGCGCCTATCCTTGAGGCCACCCAGACAGGTCCCCTATGGTCTCATGTCTGTGTAGGGGGAGTGGTCCCTGTGTCCGCGCCTGCGTCCCAATTCATCACCGCCCGGCGCTGGGGAGTCATATGCTGCTTTATACCCAGTGTCTGTACAATGGGACCTTTGTGGGGCTCTGAACAACACCCTTTAGAATTCAGATCAAACGCCCTGACTTCCGCCCACCCTACACACAGAGCACTTGTGTCCCAGCGCCGGACACCCAGCCTGCACCCACCTGTTCTGTGCCCGCCCGGTCCATCGCCGCACCCGCCCCGTGGCCCCACCAGAAGAATGGTTCTGGGGGAGGGAGATAGAGCACAGACAGGTGCAATGTAAGATGGGACCCCAGGGAGCCAGGAAGCTCTGGACTAAGGCCCTCCCCCATATCCCTACCAGAAACAGAGTCTGTCTGAGTTTTCCTAGGCTTAGGTTCCCTCCAGGGTATGGGTGAGTTAGAACCAAGGACACTGGCAGATACATATTTATCATGCTAAGAACTGTACTAATCATTTTCCCATGCATTTTTTCTTTTGACCCATTTAGCAAGCCTGTTTCCCACTCAAGGTCACACAGAAAGTGGGAGGGTAAAACGAAGGATAAAAAAGCCTGAAACAGAAGACTATACTTAGGGCAGAAGACTCCTTGTGCTTTTGCAGATGGTGTCAGCCAGAGAAAAAGCTAGCCATTAAAGACAGAAAAGAAAGCAGACTTTGTGGAATAGCACGAAAATCAAGGCAGCTCTCCACCTGTGAGGACACGCCAGCTCTCGAAAACTCTATGGCTCCTGCTCCTTGAGCTGCAGGAAAGGAGCCTCTTTTCAGGGGGTGAGTAGGTGGGCACAGGGTGAAGACAAACCAGAAGGAGAACCATGCAAACAGCAGGTTGGGAGAAGGAATATGCAAGGTAGCTTCTGTTTGCATCCTGGTTCTTCCTGAAAAATGACCTTGGACTAGTTACTGAACTTCACTGTGCCTTCTTAAGAGTTCATCTGTAAATGGGGCCAATACCCAGGGTTGTGGTGAGGCAAGAGTTCTTAACCCAGCTCCAGTTTCTCAGGTGGTGATCAAGGGGTTAAGAACCTTCTCAGGAAGAGGAAACAATGCTGCCTTGGGCGGCTAAATGGTCTGCCAAGCCCACGAGCAGCTCCTTTTTCTCAGTGCCGTGTGGCTGACCTAGAGTGTCTGACAGAGAACAGACAGCTCTGTTGCTGCCCTGCCCCCAAAGTCAAGTGCATATTGTAACCTCCTGCTTATGAACTTGCCAGTGGCTCTAGGGAAGAAATTCTCCTCTGTCCCTTAAGGCAGACAAAGAAGGCCTCTCCCTACTGCCCACCACTTCTGTCACTGAAATACAAGGAGATAGTGCTAGAAGCAGGGAGCGGGCTGAGAGAAGCACATCTCAGGGCTGGACCTGAGAAAATGCAGCAAAATGCAGTGCATTTTCTGTCCCCACACAGGAAACTTCCACAATAGGGGCAGTGGTTGCAGGAAAAAGCAATGTATTCCTTTTTGGGTGGCTCTCCTGGCCATAGAGGGAAGGAGTGGTGAAATAGTCACTGGAAAAACTGGGCATGAGAGAAAAGAAACCGGGAAGTCAGGGCAGGTGGTGCACACATGCAGTCCCAGCAATTGGGGGTTCAGGGGCTAAAGCAGGAGGCTCACTTGAGTGCAAGAAGGCCAGCCTCCACTTCATAGTGAGCTCAAGGCCAGCCTGGGCTACAGCAGAGCCTGTCTCAAAATACACACACACACACACACACACACACACACACACTTTTATAAAAAAAATTAAAGAAGAGCAGGGTGTTGTAGCACATGCCTTTAATCCCAGCACTCAGGAGGCAGAGCTCTGTGAGCTCAAGGCCAGCCTGGTCTGTATAGCGAGTTCTAGGTCAGCTCAGACTATAGGGAGACCCTGTCTCAAAAAGACCAAAAAAAAAAAAAAATTAAAGAAGAGGGCTAGAGAGATGGCTCAGCAGTTAAGAGCACTGGTTGCTCTTGCAGAGGACCCAGGTTCACTTCCCAACACCCACATGACAGCTAACACCCCTCTGTAACTCCAGTTCCAGGGGATCCAGTGCCCTCTTCTGGCCTCTATGGACATTGTACACATGTGGTGCACTTACATGCAGGCAAAGCACTCAAACACATAAATTAATCCCAGCACTTGGGATCTCTGAGATTAAAACCAACCTGGTCTACAGAGCAAGTTCCTGGTCAGCTCTGGCTACAGAGACCCTATCACCAAAACAAACAGGGACTGGAGAGATGGTTCAGTGGTTAAGAGCACTGGCTGCTTTTGTAGAAGGCCTGCTATCACTCATCTTTTACTCCAGTTCCACGGGATCTAATGCCCTCTTCTGGCCTCCTCAGGTATTACATAACCTGGGTGCACTTAGACACATGAAGGCAACACACACATAGAGTAATAAAGAAATGAAAAACAATTGGGTGTGGTGAGTTCAAGGCCAGCTTGGTCTACATAGCAAGTTTCTGGACAGCTGGGGCTTCAGGGAGACCCTGTGTCAAAAAGACCCTCCCTCAAAAAAAGAAAAGAAAAAGAAGAAAAGAAAAAAAGAATAATAATAATTTTTTGAATAAAAAATTAAAAAAAGAAAAAGAAAAAAAAGAAAAGAAAAAAAGAATTCTAGACCAGACTGTGCAACTTAATGAGGCCCAGTCCCAAAAGTAAAGCAAGACTATAGGAGGAAGGGATAGCTTATAGGGCATAGTTTTCTGAACGATGTTTTTTTTTTTTTTTTCAGGGGAGAGCACGAACACAGTCCTCCACTACCACAAATTATGCAGTTGGGTTTCCCGAATTCAGGGAAATCGCAGGGGTCAGCATATCCCAAGTGCAATCAATGAGCCTTGCCCTGGGAAAACCACCTTCCTGGCCATGGGTGTCTCCCCTGTCAGGTAAGTTTCATCTAAATTTTTTTAAAGGCCTTGGTGAATTGATGCTGAGTATCTGGTTTTGGCATGGGAAAGCATGGACCAGGTCATCCTTTTTTCCAGCTTGGAATTCTGGAGGCAAAGCTGCTGCCAGATGTACACAATTATAAAGAAATACTTCAGTTTCTTCAGCAAGGCTAGCCTGGGCTGCATAGTGAGACCCTGTCACAGAAAATCAAAAAGGAAGGAAGAAAGGAAGGACACAAGAAAGAAAGGAAAGAAGGAAGGAAGGAAGGAAGGAAGGAAGGAAGGAAGGAAGGAAGGAAGGAAAATAAATGCTTTCACCAATGAGGTGGTTTAGACTTCACACACTGGGCTGGGCTGGGGCTTTGGCTCAGAGGTAGAGAGGGCTTGCCTGGAAAAAAAGAGTGGCAGCTGAGACATACACCTTTGATCCCAGCCCTTGGGGGTAGAGGCAGGTGGTCTGGTGAGCTGGCTCAGCTGTTAAGCCTGACGATCTGAGTTTGATACCCAGGACACACATAGTAGGAGAGAACTGACACCTGCAAGTTATTTTTTTCTAATTTTCACATGTGTGCTGTGGCATGTGTGCATGTGCACATGGATGCTCAGGTGTGCATACACACACACATAAATAAATGTAATAAAAACCCAAGTCCTACAAGAATAAACATTTATTGAGCACATATTGTGTGTGTGCCAGGCCCTCGCACACATACTCGCTCCCATCAGCCTCAGAACAAACCTGAGGTGCCCAAGATGACTCAGCATGTAAAAGCACTTGCCATGCAAGTCTGATGACCTGAGTTCTATCCCTGGATCCCATGATGGAAGGAGAGAATCAACTCCTGAAAGTTGTCCTCTGACTTCCTCCTCTCCACTGTGGCACTCACACACATGTTACAAACACACACACACACACACACACACACACACACACACATGCACACATGCACACACAGAGAGACTAATAATAAATAAAACAAAAGAATAAGAGGTAGGGTGTTGTTTTAGTCTCCGGTCACAGAAAAGACTGAGGCAAAGAAATGTCTTGCCTGAGGGTCGTGCAGTCAGCAAGTGATGGATCTGGGCTTTGAGCGGGGCCAGGCTGATGCCAGAGCATATTGTTTTCAATGGGCTGGCACAGATCTAGTGCTTTTCTCTTCATGGATATGTTTAGGAATGAGGGGATCCAAAGCTGGTACCTCTTTGCTTTCCTTCCCTGGCCTCCTGATTTGGTCCATTTTCCTTTTCTCAGGCTGCTTTCATGAACCCAAAAGCAAATTTTAGGTGTTCTGTCCTCTTTTCCCCTCAGGGATGCCCCCATAAACCTCTGACCCCCCCGCCCCCACCGAGCTTCCAGGTCCTTCTAAGAAGTTCTCTGCCTGTTGTCTTCTTGAATTCTCTGGGCCATTAGCTCCCTGTAGGGCCCCTGAGAGCACTTGTGTGGCCACTGGGATTTCAATTTTTGCTTTCTCTATGTCAACAGCAATACCTCAAGGGTTGCATTTTAAAAACTTCTAGGGGAGTGACCTGATTTTGAAATCCAAACTGTTTTTCTGACTTTGGGTTAAAGTCCAGATATTGATATGCTCTGAGTTGTGCCAGGCGTGTTTTGCTCCGTGTTTAATTAGATAGGGCTCCCGAGGCCTTGTTAGGCTTTGAATTTGGGTTTGCCCAGTACTTGAGCATAGTACGAAAGCAGGAAATCACACTTAATCTTTACAAACAGTCCCGTGATGTTATCCCCATTTTTCAGACAGGAAGTTGAGTCTCAGAGAGGTTAAGTAACTTGTTTCAGTGGCACTTGCACTGCTGCCAAGAGACAGAATCAAATTCCAAATTTCTTTTCCTCTGACCTCAAAGCCTTTGTACACAGTACTGCTTTTGGTGGCTTCTCTTTTGAAGGAGTGTGTATTCTGAGACCAGCCTTACAGCTAAAAAAGCTGGATTCCTGTGCATTTTGGAGTGTGTGTGCGTGCATGTATATGTATGGTGCATTTGTCACCTCTGTTTCTCTTTCTGCCCTGTCATTCCTTCTGACTGTAGGAAAATCCTTGTGTTTTGTAGGGTTTGGGAATAGGGACCTGGTGGGGTTGGCTGAAGTTGAGCTCAGCCCCTAGGCACCAGGGCAGAGGATATAACTCCATTGGTAGAGTGTTTGCCTTAGCAGCTCCAAAGTCCTGAGGGGTTTCATCCCCAGAAGTGGTAGTGCATGTATGTGATCCCAGCTTTCCAGAGGTGGAAGCAGGAGGATCAGGCACTCAAGGTCATCGTCAGCTAACATGGTGAGTTTGAGGCCAGCTTGGGGTACATGAGACCTTATCTGAAAAAAAAAAGAAAGAAAGAAGAAAGAAAGAAAGAAAGAAAGAAAGAAAGAAAGAAAGAAAGAAAAAAGCTACCTCAGACTACGTGCTCCCTTCCTGTCTCACAGGCCACCTGTGGTCAGGGAGGGACATGGGGACTTTTTTGGAGACTTCCTTCTGAATTTCTGGCTGCTTTCATCAGTTTGGTGTGGCTGAGGCCAATCTCGTCCAGTCCCTTCTCTCCCCATTTATCTTCCTGCCTCCGCCCTGTGGTTCTACAGTATCTCAGGCACTGGCTTACTCTCCACCCTGCCATCCTGCTGTGTCAGTCTTGTTCACCATGGCCAGTCTAGTGCATTTTCTTTTCTTTGTTCCCTTTTCTTTGTCCCTCTCCCTGTTGTCGTCTTCACTTGAAACTTCTGCTAATGTCTTCTTGTCATGGCTTAGATTCTCCCTACTAACTCCTCCATCACCTACTTTATTTCCCGCTCTCTCTTTGGGCTCATTATGACAGCCACCATCGATGGAATGTCCCCTTGTGTATTAGGAACCATATGTTCATGGACTCTCATCCTCATAATCTGCCACCTTCAATTCACACAAGCTACAATGGCAGCTCACAAAACAGATTAAATTTTTTTGAGGGGGTTACTTTTTGAGACAGAGTTCGAGCATGTAGCCCAGGCTAATCTGGAACTCATAATCCTCATGCTTCAGTCTCCCTAGTACAGGGATTATAGGCATATGCAACTGTGCCTTTTGTCTGGTTACATGGCTGGTAAACAAGTGGTTGAACTCAGGTCAAAAATTACATTGGCCTCTCTTCTTAGCCTGAGTCCCTTAGCAATGGCTTCTGTCTATTAAAACTTCTTTTGTGACCAGGTGTGGTGGTACACACTTTTAATCCCAGAAATCTGGAGGCAGAAGCAGACAGATCTCTGTGAGTTTGTGTCCTGGTCTGCATGGTGAGCTCCAGGTCAGTCAGGGCTGCATTGTGAGACCCTGTCTCAAAACAAACAAACAAAACAAAACACAACTTCTTTTGTGTATATTCTCCTTTTTTCCATCTTATTTTCTAAGTCCATGAGTTCTACTATACCATTCCTAACAACTGGACAACATTTGAACAGCTGGGGACCACCCCTCCTGTAGATCCTCAAACTATCAGTTACCCCAGGCTCAGCTTGAGTCTGCCTACTCCCCACTGCCTCACCCAGCAAATGGGAAGGCATGCTCCCACATCCTTAGCCCTATTGGCAGGCCCATATTGAGTATGTGCCTGCTTTACTTGTAGTCCAGAAAGAAAAGCAGCTTCTGGCATTGCCTAGCAATCACGCTTAACCCTAGTCCTGTATGGCAGAAAATGTCTCAGAAAGATGAAGTTGACCAACCTTATGTTGAGAGTTCTTCAAGTCTGTGACCCTATGGGGATGGAATCTTTGGCTGAGGAAAAAGAGTAAAAAGAGAAGCAATTTGAGGCCTGGAAAGAGGATAGGAGTTGGAGGCTGAAGACAGAATCTAAGCAGTCTGGGCACTTGGCAGGAGGGACGTCACCTCAGCTCAGAGGGAAGCACAGAAGGGCCTTAAGTAACTGAATGCTGAAGTCAGGAGAAAGAAAGACCCAGGCCTCTTCCCAGCTGGCATTTCTACCCCAGAGCCAAACCAGCCCTCCGTGGCCTCCTCCCTCAGTTCCCACTCTCCTCACCTCCCTGCCACTGCCACACCTGGTTGCTGCTGTCTTTTCCCAGGGAACGACTACAGGCAAGTCTGCTCTGTGCCACTAGGTACTGTCAAAGCCCAGCCCAGGGGAGGGACAATAAGCCCAGGGCCGGAGCTAGACATGGCCCATAGCCCAAGAGGAACCAGAGAAATATTAACCAGCTCCACCCCTCTTCCACACACAATCATTAAACAAGATTGATCCCCTAAGCTCTCAATGGATTTGGAGCTAGAGTACTTGCCCTGTGCTAGTCTGAGAGGCATCATTGTCACCCAAGCACCATGTTGGGCCTATCTGGGGGACTGAACTGGATTTAGTTGTATAACATCCTTCAGCTGACCCCCACTCCTAGCCTTAGGTAGACCCACTATGTGGGCAGGTGGCAGAGAGGACTCCTGTTCTGGATGCCATCTATTTTGGCTCCTAGCCTCTAAAACTATGTGACCATGGGGAGGACGAAAATACCTGAGGTCAGCCAGATATGGTGGCATATGCCTTTAATCCCAGCACTCAGGAGGCAGAAGCAAGTGAATCTTTGTGAGACTGAGGCCAGCCTGGTCTACATAGCGAGTTACAGGCTAGCTGGGGCTACAGGGAGACCCTGCCTCAAACAAACAAGCAAAGGCCAAAGTTAGGGATGACAGTACCCCTCACCCATATAACAGCACCAGGATATAACCTACATATTGTCCATGTACTTTTTGACTGGGGACAGACCAAAGTATTTCCAGTTATATCCCAGAACCATAAAGCCTCCTCAGAAATTGTCTTCTACTCTTGGGGCCAAGGAAGTTGATCTGCAAAGTGTGTCATATGAAAGCAGTGGCTCTTGGCAATCATTTAAATAAACAAAGAGTGTCAACCATTAACCTAGGGATCCATCTAGTGTCAAGGTCTCTACATGAAGGCTCACCTGAGGACCCTGCTCATTCTGCAATCTGGGCCCCCAAGGAAACAAGGGAAGCCAGAAGAGCTGGTCTCCTGCCTTTTGCTTGAGCTCACTACCAGAAAGGAAGACAGGGCCTCAGCTTCTCTGGGCAGAACCTGAGCTATACTAGATACAACAGCAGATAAGTTTTTACTGGTTACCTATTGAGAACTCAGCATAAGACATGTGCTGGGGTCATGGGTCCGAGGAGGGGAGACCATGCTGACTCTTCTTAAAGAATTTATTAAGCCAGAGATGTGACTCAGTGCACAGTACTCACCTAGCCTTGGGTTGAACCCGCTAACACCCAGCACCGTCCCCAGCAAAAAAAAGGCGGGCGGAGGGGGGTCGGGGATTAAAGGGAATTTATCAACTTTTGGAGGAAAAAGGCCAAGACCAAAGTGATTTCTGTATGTGTTCAGTTACATGGTTATGATTTTTTTGGTCGTTTTGAGACATGGTAGCCCTGTAGCCCCAGCTGGCCTGGAGCTCACTATGTAGACCAGGCTAGCCTTTACCTCACAGAGATCTACCCACTTCTGCTGAGATTAAAGGTGTACACAGCTATGCTTGGCCCCATGGTTCTGATTTTGATTGTGAGGGAGTTAAAAAAGGAAGGTAAAAAGATATTGAAATAGGGAACATTTCCTAGAGGAGGTGAGGTCTGAGCAGAGTAGAAAAAGATGGATAAGGGAAAGGAAATGTGAAGAGTAGAGCTAGCATCCCAAAGAGAAGAAACAGCACGAGTAAAGGCACAGAGTTGGAATGACAAGGCATGCCTGAGGGACAGCAAAGAGGCAGATGCTGTTGAGTGACTGTGGAAGAAACCATCTGTCAGTCAGATAAGGGGCTCAGAGCACAGAGGGCATCTGAAGTCAGATAGGGAATTCCTTTAGTAAATGTCTGTTAGGTAAACTTTGTGGAAGACAACACTGAGCCAGAATCCACACGGAGAAGGGTAGTGATGGTGCTGAGTACAGGTTGGAGTAGATGGGAAGGACTAGCATTTCTTTTATTATTTATTTATTTATTTATTTATTTATTTATTTATTTATTCTTGGTCTTTTTGAGACAGGGTCTCCCTGTTGCCCAGCTGTCCTGGAACTCACTATGTAGACCAGGCTGGCCTTGAACTCACAGAGATCTGC